GGGGAAGAACTGCTGTGTAAAATCAGACTTGGGCAGAGCTTTTTGAAGACAAAAGTAATTTTTTAATTAAGTCCTGTGTCCTCAACTGTGTAGACTCCAGTGGTTTATTTGAATGTTAGGTACCATAATGGAGATTTTAGAGTATGCCTTTAGGAACTCTGGATTTCTAGGTTTCACTTTAAAATCCACAGATCTTCTTTTATCCTGAGTAGGGTGGGATGGTGTGTTTGCTGGGATGGCTGAGGTTCTGCCTCCCCACCCCCAGGTTTTAGGAATTCAGATTGATTTTACACAGCTTCTGTGAGGTGCTGTTGGATTTTGGGGAAAAGAGGGTTTTGACATGCTGAATTACAAATTGCAGTGTAATTTGTAGGGGTTTAGGGGTGAAAACGCAAATGTTTCTGAAGGGAGTGAACTGGAGTTGGTAGTTGGGTCACAATGATGAAGCAATTCCTTTTCCCTGTCCTCCAGGTATGACCTGGGTGGTAGGAGATGGTGTCTGTTCCTCAGTAGTTATCTCATGCCAGTAAGAAGAAATGTTCAGAGAGAGAATATTCCCCCTACTTCTCAGCCTCCCCCTTTCTGTGTTCATGATGGTTTCTTTCAAGTATTTCCACTGGCAGTTCCTTTTCTGTGAATGTGATAGCTTCCAGCATGTATGTGTGTGGCCAGAGGAACCAGGTCCTGCAGGGGCAGGGCTGCTCCCAAGTGGGGGTTGACAGATCCAGTGCCTGCACAGAGTTGGGGAGGCTGTGGTGGCAGCAACAGTGCCCATGCAGCTGCTAAAAGGAAGAACAACACATCAGAGTGAAAGTAATGCCAGAGCTGACTGCGGGAAGTGCCAGTGCACAGGCAGCTGTGCAGTGTTCAAAGTGTGCCTTTTGGCAGAAGCCAACTTAGTCAAACACATAAGACCAATGTAATTGTTCTCTACCCATAAAGATCCCCTTTAGTCTGATAAAGCTATTATTAAGGGATATCAAGACCCACTCTTTTCTCAGGTACCTCTGCCAAAGAATAACCCCAAATACTAATTATCAGTCTCTTCTTTTGGATAGGTGCAAAATTTTCACAGCTGCGTTCAAGTAACGGAAGACTTTGTGTCTCCAGAACATCTTGTACAGTCCTTTCATTTAACGCAGGAGCTGAGGCTGTCAAAGGAAGAAATCAATTACGATGATAAATTGCAGGTAGGAAATAAATGCTGCTCTGGAAGCAGCTAGGAAGTCAGGGCGTGCTCAGGCTTATTGAAATGCCAAGCAGTGCGTGGAGTTACTTCCTTGCTGCTGTTCACACAGAATAACAATGAGCAGCAGCATGAATACCAGGGCTCTAAATGACTCTCCCTTGAGCTGCTTGTTTTATTTCACATTACATTTTACATTTTAAAATACATTTTAAAATATGTAAAAAGCTGTTCCTTTTGCACAGGCTTGATAAAGCCTTTCTTTTTTTCCATCCACTAAGCTTTGAGCTTAGTCCTAAACTTTGCAGAGCTCCTCAGGTCGTAGGCCTTAATAAAATCTGTCCCATGTTGTTGCAGGTTAAAAATATCTTGTATCATGCAGTTAAAGAAATGGTGAGAGCTTTGAAGATTCACGAAGATGAAATGGAAGATATGGATGAGAACTGAGCACACTCTGCTTTTTGGAGGCAGCATCACCTCAGAGGTTATTTCACCTGATCTATGAACAAGTATACACAATAATTTAAGCTTCACAAACCATCAGTGCCAAGAAAACACAGTCATTGTGTTTTCTTGTTAGTGACACTGCGACAGTAGAGCTTGATATCACAGCCACTGTGATTCCATGTTCCACTTGCAAACAGTTGACCAGCATTCTGCTGTCTGTATTATAATGTACATGAAGTTTATGAAATGTCAAAGATTTAAGATTATGTATTTATTTTTGGAAAAAACGAAAAAATTCTATGCTATATTGTTGATCAAATGTAAATGTGACTTGTACAGTTTGCTAAAATAATTCAGACCTTTTTCACTACATTGAGACAGTTACTGTGACAGTAGGACACAAACACCAGCTATTGCCTGCATTTGGGATCTTGCTGAGTCTGCACAGCAGTCATGTCATAATCTGAAAATTACTGCCAAATAATTGTAAACTTTGTAAAATATAAAGTATATAAAGTAGATATTAAATACAAACACTTCAGTATTTTATTGAAGCTATTCAGTGTACAATTAAACGTTTTCAAAAGGTGTAATTTATTTAAAAATTGTCTCATTTTGGTAAAATTTATGTGAACTTTTAAAGCTTAAATATTAAACTTAATATGCTATGTAAATATATACATATATACATTCAATGATGTATTTTTTTAAAACATTGGCTTGCTTTAATTTGTTAAAAGTGCAAGTGTTACACATGCTTTGTACATTGAAGTTGAAAAGGATTTTACATTTTCCATTAAAATGACTTTGTCAGACGTGGTGTTGCGTTTGTTGTTTGTGCCGCTGGTGCTGACAGGGCAGCGAAGTGCTGCCCTCTGCAGGCCGCAGCCGGGACTGCGGGCACGGCGCTGGCAGCAGCCTCTGCCACTCATCCCTTCCCTTTAGGAATCAGGACTTGCATTGCGGGAACGGGAAAGGCGTTTCTATAGAATGATTATTTCTTAACAACTTTCCTTTAATAGTTGAAGTAATACTACAAAATAGCTGATGTTACAAAAAATACGTGTTTGTTTTTTTCAATAATGATAAATGTTAGCAGTTGAGCAAAATTCAAGGTTTTGGAGTGAGTTTTAATGCTTCAGAAGAAGTGTGCTTTAAGTTACTAAAACTATTCAAATACTTAGATTATTAAATGTTAGGCAGAGCCTGTGGCCAACTCATGAGGTGTCCAAAAGGGGATAGTAATTAGCCTGGTTACAGTAATGAGCCTGGTTACTGCTCCCAGTATGACACATCTGACTGGATTTGGGGTCACCAAAAACCCCAAACCACATGTAAATTACCTTTCAATATAATGAAGCACAAAAACAATTTCTCATTCCAAAAGTCAAAATATTTAAGTGGCTTGAAAACTTAAAATTTGTCAAGTTGCAGAGATATACCAGAGAGTTAATGGTGCTGTACTTACCAATTGCTTCTTAGCTTCCTACCCTGTTCCATCCATTATTATCTTTATTATTCCCTGTAGCATTAGAGCATTGGCTGAAAGTGCAGGATCTGCCAGTGTACATTTGCTTACTGAGAAGTGGATTCTAGTTCTACATACTTTTATTCTTTAGGTTCAGGATTTAAGTATTTCCTTCTTCAGTTGAGTTTTTGCAAGGTAGTTGTAATGGATGTGAAATATCTGGAGGCTGCTGAAATTATTATTCCTGCTGCACAGACTCCCATTTCCCCTTGGTTCTTTTCCTGCAGCCAAGAGCAGTTGATGGGCCTACGCCATGGCTGCTACTACTGCTCACCCCTGTGCTGGTGTGTCTTGGCAGCTGAATGGGAGGGCAGGGGTTGTCCCCAAAGTGTCATGTTGCCATGTCTGCCCTGGCCAAAGTCATGGGCTTTTCTCCTCTACCTCTTCTCTACTGCATCCCGGTGGATATTGGACAGCAGCTGTACAGCTGACAGCCCCTCTACCTCGAGGTCTGAGCTTTGGTACCAGCCTTTTGTCCCTACTGACAGATGCCCCTGCCACTGCAGAGTGCTTAAAAGACCTGGGCAGGGATCCCTGGCACCTGCCTATCAGGCAAAAGATGTTCTTCCCTCCTTACAGGGAACTGGGAGAGTGACTGAAAAGTGCCAGAAGTTGTTAAATACTCCAAATACTACTAAAAGAAACAATTTTTTTGAAGTAAGTACTTGGTGTAGCACATTCTGCTTACTCAGTAGCTTAAGGTTTCTGGCTCTGTCACAATGAAGCCAAGCCCCCTGCTCCCCTGCAGGAAATGAGAGCAGGAAGTGGGGTTGGTGTTGTGCTTGTGGCTGTGAGCATGACCTGAGGTATCCATAGCTAATGTCTGACACCAGAGAGGGGTTTGTTGGAAGGTGTTTTGTTTTCGGGTTATTTTTTCCCTCTTGACCTTGAGGTGTTACTGGGCATGTTTTTCCCGTCTTTGCTAAAGACTCTTGGGGGGTTTTCTGCTCTACAATCTCAACTATTTTAATACAGCCAAAAGTATTCAGTGAGATCAGCTGAAGAAGCTGTTTGTGTGCAGGAATGCTGTCAGCTGCTAGAACATGGATATGAAATACTGTGTGTCATCTTTTGTCATGTTCCTGCTTAGCACAAGCTCTGTCTTTGCTTTGTTCTCCTTGAAACTCCTCCTCCTTTTCCTTTCCTGTCCTTCAAAAGATCACTCCTCAAGTCATCAAAACTGTGAACTGTGCTCCCCACAACCCCTCCTTCCCCCCTTTCCAGCTCCTTATTATCATCTCCATCCAGCCTCAGCACTGCTGTACAGTAAATGCCACAGTAAATGGCCACAGCAGTTTCTTTCCTGTTGTAACTGCAGAGGTACCTAATGAAGAATATGTTTTTAGCAAAGAACGAAGCAGGACTGTGATGGCCTCAAGTATTTCAGTAGATGGCTGCTGTGTTTATGGTTTAGCAGAAACAGAAGTTGCTGGAATTGCTGCAGGGAAATGGTGGTCTCTGTTATGGAGGTCAGATGTAGGAGTATAGAACAGTCTGATTTGCAAATCTATTTATTCTACTCCCCCAGCTTCATTCAACTTGCTCAAATCTGTGTGTAGGCCAGTGCCCATCTGATCAGCACTACATTCTCATGCTCTCTGACCTTTTTGGTAGGTGGTAATTTTGTTTGTACTCTTTCCTGTGACATCCTGTCAAGCCCTCTCCAGCTCTCACAGCTGACACACTTTCCTGCTGTATGCCTGTAACTGGGAATTTCCCTTCCTTCCTCCTTCCACAGCTGCCATTGCCTGTTCTGCTGCTTTCCAGAGCGGGATGTTATTGCTCTCCCCCACATCTGTGCTGGATGAGCTGCCTCACACTGTTGAGATTCCTGGAGTGAGGCTTGCTGTGCTTTCCCCTCCTAACCCCCAGCTTTGCCTCAAACAGTGTCAGCTCTGCATTTTGCTCCTGCATTCTACACTTTGACCTGTGCTTTTTTTGGCTAGAGAGCTGTGTCTTCTTCCTGCTGTGGTGTTGCCATGGTCCGTGTGCCCCAGCTGGCAGCAGAGCACACAGTGGCGTGGTGGGGGTCCTCAGATGCAGTGGCCACCACCATGTTCTTTTTTTCCCATCTCAGTGGAGTGGCCCAGGAAAAGGCCCAAGGAACAAATGCCCTCTGCCAGCAGCACACACAACCAAACCTCTGTACTTTTTTCATTTGTTTTCATCAGTTTTGAAAAGGAAGTCACCATCTATGAATAGCTGGTAGGCAAATCTTGCCTCGTAGCTAACTGAAGATGTGATTCACCTGTTTGTGTGCAAACAGTTGCATTTTAAACATGGGTCTTTCAAAACGCAGGTGGGAGACTCAGGGATTTTTGCTGTTATGTTTCAAAGTGAACATTTCTGGTACCTTCCAACCATACCAGGGCTATATATTCTTGTCCCAGGTGCCTGTTTCTTTTTCCAGTCCTGGGTCTGTGCTGCCTTAGCGAAAATAGAGAGTAGGGTTTACTAGCTCTGAGGCAGGAAATCCTGTATTTGCACAGCTCTAAGGATTTTATATTGTTTGATCTCAGTAATACCTTAAGTCCTGCAGCAAATGGGCCTGCGGGAACACTTCAAATGATCAGAAGACAAAAGCCCTGAGCAAGTTGAAGTTACTTCTGGTAAAACAAACGAGAGAGAAAGGAGGTGGAGGTGGCCTCTTGATTCTTTAGGGAACAGTGAACTTTTTATACAGTTGAACTCCACAGTCCTCATGCTCGGGCAGGAAGGTGTGGCAAATAATGTCCAGCCTGTACCTGGCTTGTGGCAGCCGCTGCTCTGATTGCTTTGGAACAGTTTGGTTTTGTTTTCTCCTCTCCTTTTAGCCCAGCTCTTTGTCTGCTTCGCTCTCTGTGAAACTCCTCTTTCCTTCTCCTTTCCTGTCCTTTGAAAGATCACACCTCAAGAGTCATGATGTTAGCCGTTGTGGCTGTATTTGCTTGTCTCCATGTACAGAGCTGGGTTGGAAGGGCTCTCAAAAGATCCAACCTTTTGTGGGAAAGGGAGTCTAGATGAGGTGTAGTTCCTGTCACTGAAAGCAGGTCACCAGAACTGAAGATGGCTGAAGAGCTGCTGCTGAGAGGACAGTAGGAAGAAATTCACTACCAGAGTTCCTGAACATGGAGATGCTCTCAGAGTAAGCAATCACAAAATCCCTTTTTTCCCCTTTTTAATAAAAGCAAAATGTAAAACCAACACTTCTGTATTTTGGTTTTAGCCATCATTTTAAGTAGCAACTGGTAGTAGTGAACTCTGCACATTTTATTCTCAAGGGATTCCACACTACTTCCCTTTCTTTGGTTTCTCTTTCTGTGGTGATACAGCCAGATTGGATAACTGCAGTTTCTTTCAGCATAGCATATGTTGGCAATATTCAACACGGCCAGTATTTGTGTGCCAAGACAAGGGTGGTTAAAGCAAAATCTATGAATAGAACTCAGTGTCTAGATGTGTATTTAAAATTGATTCTTAGTGAGACACTTTGAAATAATGGACCACAGGATTCTTTAATTCTGTCCATTATAAAGCAATGCAGCCCAGACTCACCACCTCTGGGAATGTTTCTGTGTGCTGTGCTGGCTTTGGTGATGCGCCGTGTGACAGCCAGTGACTTAGTGCTTTGTTGTTGCTGCCAAAGCTCTCTGAACACTGGTTCTGCATTTCTGCACCACACCTCTTCCTTTATTCTCTTCAGGCCCGGACATTGAGCCCATCAGTTTGGTGATGAAAAAAGCGAGGGCATACATACATACATACAGGGAAGAGGTCTCCGTGGCTCAGCAGGGCCCAAGCTGGGTGCCAGGCCCCCACCAGTTAGCGGCTGGTGGCAGCCGAAGGCTGCAGTGAGCAGAGCACGATCCAGCCAGACACCAGACACCTGCTGGTGCACCGTGAAACCATGCCTGGCCACATCCGTTTGGAAGTTTAGTAACTTAACAGAGTTTTAAATTGATATGACACAAATTAATTGCTGACAGCCATGGGAGAAGGATTTCCTTAGGTTTATTGCTATGACTCTGTAAAACCTGTCCTCTAGTGGTGAGTATTCTTGGTACAACCTACCTTTCTTCCAATGCAGTAATTGCTTAACTCTAGATTCAGACCGAAGAAGTCCTTACTTAAAAAAATTCAGCATTACTCATGATAGTGGAACATGCCCATGCTCAGCCTTACTGCCTGGAGTTGGGATTCAGCAGCATGTGTTGAGTAGGCAGACTGCAAGAACAAACATTTGCATTGCAGGAGAGAGAAGTTTTAACACCACTTTCAAAAGTGGCAGTATGGAGTTTTGCCCCTACTTGGCCATCCCTTCCCACAGAGAAGCAACTTCTTTCAGATCTGGTGTTTTGTTTACTCAGCTACACATCAAGGGACAGTTTAGACTTCAAATCAAGAAGGTAGAGCTTGCAATTCCCATGCTCCAACCTTTGAGGAATCTTCTTCAGATTCTTCAACAGACCTAAAAGTTGCTTCCTTTTCCTATAGCTGCCATTTTCAGATGCCACCACCATGTCTGTCTTGTAGCTAACAACCCTGAGCTACCACCCCAGCACTGGCATGAGGTAGGTGCTTAAATAATTTTATTTCCATCTTGTGAGCACATGCTATTTTCTTTGCTTTACTTAAATGACTAGAAACACTATGCTCCTCTGCCTTGTTACCTGGAATAGTCAGCCAGCCAGGGGCCAGCAGAGACTGGGACTTGCCCTTTGGTAGGAGCAGTGAGCTTGGCCTGACCTCAAACAGGTTACCTCATCACAGCTGGATGGGGCTATTTGCTAAACTGTTCCAGCTGAAAAATAACTTTATTTCCCCAGCAAGATTAGATTCCAGCTACAGTTCAGCATAAGGCACCTCTTCTAATGAACCTGTCTTGCCTCTCTTTCTATAGACTTTTTCTAACCTCAAGCCCCTATGCTCCTTCAAGCACAGAAGAAGCCAGGTAAGGGGAGAATTTGCACAGCAGTAAGGTGTTCTTACTGCACTTCCAAGTCTATTCTGGAAGAAAAAGGCACTCTTAGAAAGCAAGCTTACCATTTAACAGCAGAATAACTGTAAATGACATAGCCTGCAATACTGAACACTTCACTAATCAGTAACAGCAGAATGTAATTAATGCCTCCACTACACAGTGGAACACTCCTTGGGAGCCCCAGCTGGGCTTCAGGGCAGGGGCTGAGCCATGCTGGAAGGGACAAGTGTGAGGAGGCTGCATGGCCCTGCTCAGACCCAGCATCCTCAGGGGATGCACACAACGCTGCTCAGACCCAGCACCCTCAGCACTGTTCCTATGGCTCCTGCTGGGCTGTGCCCCAGCAAATCCATGGAGCTGCTCCGCTGATGCTCCAGCGCTCTGCAGTGCTGGAACCTGGCTGTCAGCCAGGTCACTTCACAGGTAGGCAAGGCCCTCTGAATTCATCCCAGCTTTCTTGAACTTGCTCGATGATGAACATGGAAGCTCATCTGTAGGTGTATCCTAACACTTAGTACAAGTAGTAATTTCTTCTTTGTACTTGGCCACATTTGTACAGATGTAACAGACAGTGTCAAAACACCTTGGTTTTTATTTTCCTATCCTTTTTGAATCAGGTTAAGCTGTAAACAATATATTTTTCAATCAAATACTGTCAGCTATAATTACTTCCATTCATGCATCACTGAAAACAAAAAGGGTATTTTACCTTAAGTATAGATTTTTCATTTTAAACCATGTCACTTTATACAGAAACCAATAGCTAGATTCACTTCACCCTGATTAGTTATGTAAACAGATAACCCCCCCAAAAAAAACCCTCATCAACAGAACGAATAAGTTGGTTCCTTCATAGAATGGAAATTAAAATCTCTTCGACTTGAGGTTAACATGGTCAGGAATATAGAGTGTGGCACATAAATCCATCTAGGAGGTGTATAAATTACACTGTGTCTGAATTAACAGTTATGCATAATGAAATGCACAGTTTAAATTCATGCTAGAAAGCATTTTTCAATATTAAATGGCAGCCAACTGGCCACCATAACAGTTAGGTTCTGCACCATCATTTATGGCATTACAGATAACTATTACATATAGCATACTTAAAAACCCTAAAGGATTGTGTTACTTGAAACATTCTCCAGGCAGTTGTTTGGTTTGAAACATTGGGAGTAAGCTCGCTCTCTTATACCAATTATGGTACCTTTAACTTCCATGAAGTAAATCAGATATGATGTGTATTTCACAGTAACAAAGTTGCTTAATGCCTGTTCTCTGACAGTAGCATTGTTTCCACACTCAGATCACCATTGTCCTGGTGGCTTTCCCTTTTCTCAAATCTGGTTTAACTACATTGAGCACTTTTCCTGGTTTTTAACTATTCATCAGTCCTTTCAGTATATCATCAGAGAGTTCCAGCATTGGGAGTTCAGGGGATGGGATGTCCAGGGGGGGAAGGCTGGGTATTGGAATGTCCTTTGCCTTCCCAGCAGTTGTTGCAAACTTCTGCCAAGTTGCAGCTGAAGAAGCAGATTCTGAGTTCTGCTGCAGACCCCACAACTCTGACTTCTCAACAAAGTCAGTGTCTACATCCAACTCCCTGTCTACTGGAGATTTTTGGAGTCTAGCTCTTTCTGCTTTTAACTGCTTATTCTCTCTCCTTAATCTCTCATTTTCAGATACAAGAGATTCTATGAGCTGCTTCAAATCTGCAATTTTGGTTGCCTGCTCTTCTATTATTGTTTTGTCATCTTTTGGCGCTTTACTCCCAATACATGCTTCTACTGGCTCCTTTTTTTTCTGAAGCAGAAATAAAAGTGTATCTGGGTCCCTGTCAAAGACACCCTGAATATCCTGTGAATGTTTCTCTGTGGAAGAGTTGTATTTCTGAGCAACAGGAACTAGTACATTTTGATCATCAGAGTCTTCAGCAGATGGCTTGTAAGAAGTCTGAAAATGTGCGGCTACTTCCTTGTCAGCACTCTGCTGGGCTTTCAGCTTTTCCTCCCTCTTTGCCCTCTTCCATCTCTCCTGGATGAGAAGTAACTGTTTCATATGACTATCCCTTTGTAATTCCAGTGATAGCTGAGCCTGAGTAAGAACAAGATTAAACAATTTAGTTGGTGATCCCTAATACCACCCAAATATTCACACACATTGAATGTGTGTAAATATTTACATAAACAGCATCACCACATGCCCAAGGGGAGGTGTTTTTTTTATTCAGACATTAAATCCAACAGGAAGTGCTCTCTGCTTGTACGGTGCAACAGATTCAGATACGTCAAATTTATCATAACTACTGGTCTTTTTGTTTGTAAGTCACTGACCAGGCTACAATATCTCTGGGCAGAGGCACCAGTAGTTTAACTGACCTATGACCAACACCAAGAAGAGATTCACTTGGCATGCACTGGCTAAACAATGCAAGCTTTTGTATGCTTCTATGATGGTATCTGTGTAGACATATCAATAACACCCAAAATGAAGCAGCAAATTGCTCCAAGGCCAGGTATGGTCCCAAATGATTCAGCCATTTTTAATGAAGGTGGTGGCACAGCGGTTATTAACTCACCTAGGTGAAAGACCATTTTTCTACAAGAATGACCCATTGGAGCAAAACCAGATGTCTGATCTCCAAGGGTTATTTTATTTCATAATATTGGCTAAATTCAAAGCCTTCTGGTACAAAAGTGCTGAGCAGACTACACTACTACATTCACAGATAAACTTGTGCAATGAATAAGAAAAAGCGTCAGGGCTGTTTTTTCTAGAGCTCCCCTAGTCAGGATGCATTAAACCAAAATGACACACTGTAGATGAGATGCTTGACTTTTTGTCTCAGCAAAATACTAAGTGCCTCACAGATAAAGTTAAATATGACACTAGTTTTGTCACCTACTTGAAGATGTCTGGCAGATTAGAAAGTTGGAGACCCCTTGGATAGGTTAAGATTTCTCTTGACCCTGTTCCACATAAACTTGGAAAAACTCTCTAGGAAGACTGGTATTACCACACTTGTGAAACTCATGGTGCAGTCGCCAAAGGTTCAGAATATTTTGCAGAGGCTAATGCCAAGGAGGGGTGTGGTCAGACACA